GACTAGGGATTCAGATAAAAGGTGACTTGGAACACCGAAAAAAATCAATTCCAAGTGGCGACTCTGTAAATAAAATAATCACTACTCAAATTTGTCACTTTAATTGGAAAAACTCTTTAACCCACCCACAATCCATAACACACATATCTTTTGGGGGTAGAAAAAGGGGTATGGCACTACATACACTCAATTTCCCTATGAAGTTCATAAGGAGGATAATGGAGTGCATATCAACTCCTCAGTATACAATGGATATAAATGGAGGGCTTTATGGGAACATTAAAGGGAAGAGATGCTTGAGACAAGGAGACCATATATCTCCTTTACTGTTTGTAATATGTATGGAGTATTTCTCAAGGATAATGAGACTAGTGGCACAACATGAGGGACTCAGTTTCCATACCAAGTGTAGAAGTTTGCAGCTCAATCATCTATGTTTTGCAGATGATGTGCTCCTCTTTTGTAAAGGGAGTTCCAATCTCTGATGCTAATGTTTGAGAGGGCTCCAGTCATTTTCTAAATCCTCAGGATTAACTACAAATGCAAGGAAGTTGAACATTTTTGCTGTGAATATGAAGACACAGGAGATAGAAGACATGTGTGAAATAACAGGGTATAGCAAAGGCAGACTCCCATTTAAATACTTAGGGGTTCCAATATCATCTAAAAAGCTATCCAAAATGGACTGTCAAGTACTAGTGGATAAACTGGCTACCAGAATAAGAAGTTGGGGTTCAAGAAACCTATCATACGCAGGCCGAGTGCAAATGATAAATGCAGTATTGATGCATATTCACACATACTAGGCTTCGATCTTCATACTTCCCAAAGTAGTTCTTAAAAGCATCACAGAAATCTGTCGAAATTACATATGGGATGGTAAGGTGGAAACAAACAGGGTACCCCTAGTAGCCTGGGACCTTGTATGTTGACCTAAACAAGAAGGAGGGATAGGCATAAAGGATTGTGTGGCATGGAATGAGGCACCTATAGGGAAATATGTATGGGATATAACTCAATAGACTGACTCTCTATGGGTCAAATGGATTAACCATATCTACCTTAAAAACGTAGATTGGTGGCAATACAATGTGGCAAAGGACAGCAGCTGGTATTGGAAGAAAATTTGTCATATAAGAGATAAACTGGCAGGGAGTTATACTCATGGAGGATGGCAGTCAGATACAGGGCAGTATATAATCCAAAAAGGATATGCCTGGTTGAAGGAAAATCTAGATAATTGCCATTGGGGAAGATGGGTCTGGAGCAAACAAAACATTCCAAAGCATAGATTTATATGTTGGCTGACTATGCAGAAGAAGTTACTTACAAAGGATAGGCTAGTACGCAGAGGAATCACTACAGTTGGCCTGTGTGTTCTATGTGGAAGTGCATTAGAGATTGTTGAGCATTTATTTTATGAGTGTCAATTCTCAAGAAGATGCATAACTGCAATACTACAGTGGCTAAAGGTCAGTATCACAAACATTGAAGGACAACTCTTATGGAGAAGAGTAGCAAGGAAAATGGGAGGCAAACTGAGCAGAGAATTCGCATATGCAGCTTTGGCAGCGACTAACTACCATGTATGGAAAGGAAGAAATGAAGCCTTATGGTAGAGTTCAGTACCTAGACCACATAAAGTATGTGAGCAAATCAAAGAAAAATGCGAACTTCGAATGGTGGAAATACTCAGCAAGCAAAAAAAGGGCAAGGATAGAAGGTGGCTAGAAGAAATATATAGATAGACAGATAGGGGGAATGCAGAAAAATACATGTACGGGAATTTTTTATATAGTTAGAAGTTAGAGTGTGATGTTTCATAGTGTTTTCTTTCATTGATTTCGCTTCATTGTACTTGTTCTGGAGATGAATAAAAAAAATTCATTCCACCAAAAAAATATATATATATAGAAGAGAAGGAGAGCTTTGGCGTAACTGGTAAAGTTGTTGCCATGTGACCAGGAGGTCACGAGTTCAAGCCGTGGAAGCAGCCTCTTGCAGAAATGCAATCTAAGACAATGTACAATAGACCTTTGTGGTCCGACCCTTCCCCATATATATATATATATATATATATATATATATATATATATATATATATATGTCAGTGGTTGGGTTCGATCGGTTATTTTATAAAATTTGTACCATACCAATTTTTCGGTTATTCTATTATGTATAACCACAATTAAAATTTTTGAAACCGTCCTAATCATGTCGGTTTCTCTTCGATATTGGTAAGGTTCGATTATTTTTTTAAATTTCATAAAGTCACTAGTACAAGTACAATGCAATAACATACATACTTTTATATGACTTAGCAAAACTCTGTAAGCAATTTTACTATTTAAATGGTGATGAATTAAGAAAACACGAAGGAGGATCAAAGTATAGATCCATCAACTGCTCTACAACTATGTAAAAGAAACTACGCAAAGACAAAGAAAAGATAAATCACACGAGTAGAAAGATATTAACCAAGCTGGGACTAAAGAATAAAGCCTATAGAAGATTAAATATTTAAAAAGATAAATCTAAATTATACGAAAGGAAACATATTGAATACATTGTAGTTTGCTACTCATAATCGATAGAATACTTTGTGTCTTGCTAGTGAATATGCTAGAAATAATTCAGTTTTAGTAGGAATAGAATAATAGGTTTGGGAATTAAAGTATTGATTTTAATTACTTATCGGCTTGTAACCATTTCCATAATCCCAAGGCCAAGGAAAGATTTAATGCTTTATTATTTTTAAAATTAATATATATTTTCGTATATAAATTTATTCAGTACGGTTCGGTATTTTTCGATTTATTTTTATAAAATAAAAAACCTATCCTAATTATCGGTACGGTTGTAGATTTATATAAAAACTGTTAGGTGTTTGCCATAATTTTCTTACCACATTTGGTTTTCCTATCTATTGAAGGAAAGGACAAATTTCCATAATTGGGTTTTCCTTCTTGTAGAATAAAATTACAATTCTCCCATATTTGGCTAGTCCCTTTTCTTGTAGGAAAAGGTTTGGACTTCTATAAATTGAAGATATGTCCTTCTCATTCAGCAGCATCCACAATGTAGACATATGGGGTTGACAATCGTGTTTAGGGGATAACTTTACGGGACAAGTGTTAGTGTGTCACTTGTATTTGCCTCTTTGTGAGGTTGTTCTCTTGATTTTTATACTCTCTTTTTATATAGTGGATTGCGCATCTCCGTCGTGGACGTAGGTCAGTTGACCGAACCATGTTATATGTTTGTGTCTCTTTTGGTAAATTTCTCTTTGCTGTATGATTTATCGTCGTTAAAGGTTTGCTTTGCTAGCTTCCGCATGACACCTGATTTTTCCGGTCCTAAAAAGTGATATCAGAGTGAGGTTCAAGGCAAGTTCATCTTGGCCGGTTCAGTTCTAGCCGCAACTTATTTGACGATAATCGTGATTTTTGTCTGAGAAATTTGACCGGTGTACTACGCACGTTGAGATAAATTTCGTGGTGGAGATTTGGAGATGCGACCTGTTGAAGGCTATGTCAAGAAGGTGGATCAAGTTTATTTTGTCAGAAAATTCAGGCCAAGGGGGAAAATTGTTAGGTGTTTGCCATAATTTTCTTGCCGTATTTGGTTTTCATATCTATTGAAGGAAAGGACAACATATTTACCATAATTGGGTTTTCCTTCTTGTAGAACGAAATTGCAATTCTCCCACATTTGGCTAGTCCCTTTTCTTGTAGGAAAAAGTTTGGACTTCCATAAATTGAAGATCTGTCCTTCTCATTCAGCAACATCCACAATGTAGACATACGGGGTTGACAGTCGTGTTTAGGGGAGAACTTTACGGGACAAGTGTTAGTGTGTCACTTGTGTTTGCCTCTTCGTGAGGTTGTTCTCTCGATTTTTATACTCTCTTTTTATATAGTGGATTGCTCATCTCCGTCGTGGACGTAGGGTCAGTTGACCGAACCACGTTATATGTTTGTGTCTCTTTTGGTAGATTTCTCTTTGTTGTATGATTTATCGTCATTGAAGGTTTGCTTTGCTAGCTTCCGCATGACACCTGATTTTTTCAGTCCTAACAAAAACCTTTGATTTTAATAAAAGAAACCTAAAAATCGGTTCGGTACGGTTCGGTTCGATTAGTTTAGTCGATTTTTATATATCTATTGACATCCCATATATATATATATATATATATATAGAGAGAGAGAGAGAGAATAATAATAATAATAATAATAATAATATAGCTATCTACTTAATATAATTAATTTTTCAGTAAAAATCAATAAATTAACCCGTTAAATAAAGATGACTCCGCCAAATGACAACCAATATAGGCTCTACCAATAGAGCCTACATTATAGACATTTCATGAGATTTCATGTTTCATCTTAAAGATAAACATGGAAAAGTTGCCACTTGGACAAAGTTGATGTCAATTTATTACAACCAAATTCTTGACAAAGGTGTAGTGTATTGCTTTTCTCCTAGGGTTTACACACCGGCCCCTAGTACATTCCTAAACCTTACCCTATGTTTACTTTTAGAGTTTATGTTCTTTGCATTAATTAATAATATAACAAATATTTATGCAGTCAAATTTTTTATGACATAATTATATATAGATCTCATGATAAATATGAACACGAATAAGATAAAAATGGTAACTACCATTTATATTATAGATTAAAATTCACCTATGATAATACAAAAAAAACTTTCACACTGTTAATATATATAACATAAATCTTCATTTTTTATGCTTTTCAAATGCATGAATATGACACCTTTCTTGTTCATTATTATCATTTACTTTATAAGGAAGACTTGATGTGGTTTGGGTCAAGTCAAGAGAGGCAGTGGTGGAAAAGTCTTTGAACAATATTGAAAGTGTCATATCTCACACATATAATTGTACAATACATATATATATATATATATATATATATATATATATATATATATATATATATATATATATATATATATATAGCTTCCTCAAGTACTCCTCACAACAATAACGTATTCTTATTCTCCTCTTCCACATCCCATGCACCCTTCTATATAAATGTCATGAAAAATTATTCAATTCCTATATGGAAATGGAATTTTCATCCCCTCAAATTCAATACCCAAATTTCAATTTCTTCCAATATCAATCACCATTACCATGGAATAACGAACTTTTCTTAGATCATGACCATTTGACTAATTATCCATGGGAAATTGACTCCGTCAATAATAAGGAAGATCGTCAGATACCAAGAAGTTCTTCATCCTCAGACGTAACGAATTCCTCGAAAGGAAGCAATTATCATGAAGAAGAGGTCACATCACAGAATTCTACCCAAAAAAAAGACACAACAAAAGAAGAAAAGCACTATACAGGAGTTAGAAAAAGACCATGGGGAAAATATGCAGCAGAAATAAGGGACTCAACAAGAAATGGAATGAGAGTTTGGTTAGGTACTTTTAATACAGCAGAAGAAGCTGCTTTAGCATATGATCAAGCTGCACTTTCAATGAGAGGTCCATTGGCACTACTCAATTTTCCTATGGACAAAGTAAGAGAATCACTTGAAAATATTAAGTATTCTTGTGAAGATGGATTGTCTCCAGCTGCTGTTTTAAAAGCAACAAATAAAATGAGATGTGTTAAACATAGGAGAAATAGGAAGAAGAAAACTGTTTTGGTTTTTCAAGACTTGGGTGCTGACTTGTTAGATGAGCTTTTGATGAGTACTTCATCTCAGAAATAACATGACTTCAAGTTGTTTGTAAAAATTGCTCTTTTTTCACTTTTTTTGGTGGACCTTTATGTGTATGTATATTTCTGATGATGGCTAAAGAGAATGTAAAAGATGTTCACTTCTTCTCTTTATAACGAATTGGTTGTTATTGCGAATCTATAGTTAAGGTGCACAGGGTCTTATTATCTAGATGTTAGTATTCTGTATTATTATGGAGTTCAATTTCACCAACTCCTGGAAGTATTGACTGAGGAAGATGTTACTGATCTCTGAATCGAGGAATTATGAGCTCGACAAGTGACACTTGCTTAGTTGGTAAAAAGCACCTCCACCCACGACCATTAGGTCTAGGTTTCGAGTCACGCTGGAGGGGAAGTGTATGGAAACACTATATATCTTCCTAATTGGGGTTGGGGGTTGGGGGGGGGGGGTTTTGGAAAATCATTAATTCGATTAATTTGGATTTATACTACCTAGGGCAATGGGGGAGCTAGCTAGGTTGAAGAATTAAATCTCCTTCAGTAAAAAAATTATATTGATTTTTTTTATTCTCAAATTAAAATTCAGGTTTAATGTGAAAAAATCGCATCCACCTCCC